AACATTTTTCTGCTCTTGCCTGGGCTGGAATGAAGAAAAGGCTATTCTCTCTCATGATTGCATGAGAATTTAGGGGGACATGAAGACACAAACTATAACGGGTGGATATAGGCAGGCAGACCCTTGCATGTTAAAGAGCACAGATTGACCACTGTTCTGAGAATGGTGGTTAGCAAGAGGATGTGTCATAAGAATAAGGTTAAAAACAATCCATCACTACCCATTTCATACCCCTAAAAATTTGTCCTTAGACTTTGAAAATAAAGATAAACAACAAATATCTGTGGAACAGAATAGTAAGGATATTTTTTCTAGCATGTATCTGACTAAACATCAAATGGATCCCCATAAGAAAGAAAAAGTAAAAATTTCTAACAAAGTTAATTTTTTTTAATTTGGAAAAGAATGAAAGAATCACATGCTCACCACAGAGAGGTAGAATGTACCCTGAGGAAAATAAAAATTTGACCAGAGACTAAAGGAGCTGAAACTCAAGAAGAGAAAGGGAAATGAAAGATTCTAAAAGGGAATATAAAAAAAAATTTCAAACAGGGGCTGGGGATTTAGCTCAGCGGCAAAGCGCCTGCCTGGCAAGCTCAAGGTCGTGAGTTCGGTTCCCGGTACCAGAGAAAAACCAAAAAAAAAAAAAAAAAAAAAATTTCAAACATTAACAAGGATGAAGAAAATAATGTGATGAACCCTGATATACTCATTACCTAGTTTCAACAATGAATTCATGACCAGTCTGGTTTCATCTATTCCCATTCCTTTGGGCCATTTTGATATAAATCCCAGCTATACAACTTTATTCATAAATATTTGAATATAAATTCCTAAAAGATGAAGGCCTTAAAAAATTATTGTAGCTGGGCATGGTGGTGCATGCCTGTAATCCCAGCACTTGGGAGGCTGAGACTGGAGGATCCCCGTGAGATTAAGGCCTGCCTGGGATACACAGTGAGATCCTGTCTCAGAAAAAATTATTGTTACAATTCATTATCAAACCTGTCTTTAATAATAATTCATCAACAATATAATTTTTCCAGTTGCCACATTTAAAAATCAGTTTGAAAAAGAATCCATAAGATTACCATTGGATGATTTATATTCTAAATTTCTGTTAACCTTTAGGTCCCCCTCCTTTTTTTTTTCTTGCTATTTATTTATTAAGGAAACAAGGGTTTTTTGTCCCATATAGTTGCCCACCTTTTGGATTTTTCTGATTCATCATTGTGATGTCATTTAGCAGTTTCTTGCCCCTGTCTTTCCTATAGTCTAGTAGTTAGCTCTAAGAGCTTGCTATGATTCAGGTTCAGTTATTTTAGGTAAGATTATTTCATAGGTGGAGATGTGTACATAAGTATACAATGTCTAGCATTCTCTATTCTTGGGAGACACTGATGAGCATTACCTACAGTCATTATTTTATTGGGGACTGGAGATTTGTGGTATTCTATAATTACTTCTTTATTAATGGAAACATGCTGTTATTATTTCTTTATTATTAACTAGACTATTGCTATATGGAAACACAACATGCTTTAAATAAAGAGGGTATGTGTTCGTTTCTTCTTATATGTGTATATGTACACATGCATTAGAATATGGATCCTGCTTTGATTTCTGTATCTCCTTCCCTCTTTTCTCCTTTTCCAAGCAGAGTATTTGATTGGCTTTGCTTTCCTTTGTTATCACTCAGGCTTCTGGGAAGAGAGGACAGGTTGAGAGTAGGCTGAGAGTGAGTAGGAGTGGAAGTTGGGAGTCAGTTTAGGTGGACTTTGCAATAATCCAGACAAGAGACGGTGGCTTGGGACAGGGTGATAGGAATGGAGGAGGCGAGAAGTAACTGAACTCAAACTAGTGTGATGAAAAACATACAGTAGTTAATGTTTAATTTTTTAAAAATACATTAAAGGATGCATTGCCTTTAATGCCTCTCAAAATACTCTTCCTTGCTCCCAACACATGTATTCCATCATTCCTGCCACTTTCTGAAGCAGTTCTAGAAGTTCTCTTTCCTGAGTGTCGTTAGTTGAGCTTTTGTGGCTTTCTTGATGTCCTGAATTGATTCAAAATGTTTAGCTTTTGTGGTCGTTTTGACTTTGGGGAAGAGCCACAAGTTGCACAGTGCCACGTCTGGTGAGCAGGGTGGATGAGGGTACAGTGTAACGCTTCTATGAGCCTGCCTTTCTGGTGGACGGCACTGGGCAGCAGCATTCTCTGTATTTTTTAGCACAGCTCGTAAAATATGAGAGAGTACTTTGAGAACTGCTTCAGAAAGTGGCAAGAAGCTGGCCCTCCTACCTGTAATCCCAGCACTTGGGAGGCAGGGGCAGGAAGATCACTGTGAGTTTGAGGCCAGCTAGGGTTACATAGTGAGTTCAAGGCCAACCTAAACTAGTGAGAGAGACCCTGTCTAAGAAAGAGAAAAGAAAGAAAGACGAAACTGGCAAGAATGATGGTATAAGTGGTGGGACAGAGGAAGAGTAGGAACTCAGAAGCAGTGAAGAATGAATAGTGTAGTGGGCTTACACCTAACTGAATGACAATGCCCATGCCACTGAATGGATTGATGTCAGCAAGGGAGAGATCTTGAGAGTGTTTTCAGGGCTGTGTGCATTATTAACCTGTCTTTTTATAATAACAGGGTCATTTCACCTTTGACACTAAGTTAGGTACAAGCTAAAATGTTAGGTACAAAAATATAGTCCAAAAGAAGAGAATTCTAGGAATTAAACCATGAAAGATTAAGTTAACATAAATAAAGTCTTGAAAATTTTAGCTGTCCAGGCAATATCCATTTGAGGAATCACATTAGTATTAAGATCTGGTTCAAAATTCAGCCTACTGCTTTGTAGTCAACTTCCTTTGATTAATTCCAGTAACTTTCCTATTTATAAAATGATACAGTAATGCCTTACTCAAAGGGTTGTCATGAAAATTAAGTGAAATAATACGGCATTTAACACATGACAGAGGAGACTTTTTCCTATGTATTTATTTTTAATTAGGTACTAGCAAAAATTGGAGCTTTTAAGAGACTCTTAAAAGAGTAAGATGGGAGATTCTCTAGGATGGCAAACATTTCTTCCCCAGAGTAACCACAACCCCAACTGGAAAGTCAGCTCCCTTCCCTCTATCCTCCCCACCTGTGCTTGTCCTTCTGCCTAAAAATTACTAACCAATTTCATGTTTCCTTCACGTGTAAGTCATTTCAGATCAACAAATGCCCTTTTATACACATGAGGACCACATTTAGTGAAACTACTAAGTATTGCTCATGTGAGTCTATAAGATTTGAAAAAGTCTTTTCCTACTCCTTTAAACATAAAGTCTTTATAGTTCAAGTCCCAGTACCACATGTGTGCATACACATACAGCCCTTAGACATAAGGATATATTCTATAAAAACAAATTCTATTAAAAAAGACCTCAAATGCTGTGGGTATAGCTCAGCCGCAAAAGCGCCTGCCTGGCAAGTGCAAGGTCCTGAGTTTGATTTCTGGCACTAAAAAATAAATAAATAAATATAAAAATGACATTATCAGGACCATTTATATGGTAATTTTGTCAGACAATGGCTTTAATTATGAATAGCTTCCATGTATATGTCCAGGAATATCTTACACAATGAAATGTGAAACAAATTCTATTTACTTGGCTAAAAGCTAATCTGTCAACATGAAATAAATGAGTCCAAATAGTAAAGGTGCAACATATACTGAAGGAATAAAATGTACTTAAATACATACATGTCAGTGGTGGTTTATAACTTGCTTTTCTTAAAAACGTGTTATTGACTGAAGTGCATTTTTACACTGACATAGTGAATATAATTTAACTCTATTTATGGATATATAAAGATAGCCATTACAATTGATAGGAGTTAATTGACCAACCCAAGAATGATAAATTGTCATTGTGACATAGCCTTACTTTTAGAGCTATGCATAAATATCATAGCGAAAATGCATTTCATAAACATGAAACATAATAATTCCTGTGGCTGCCACATTTATGTAGTGATGTTAATTTCGGTCTCCTTTCTACATAGTTCTGTCCAATAAGTTTTTGCTGTTGTTGTTGTTTAAATCAGAAACTGAGACCAAATTCTGTGCCAGTTCTGGTGTCAGCGACAATGTATTTATGTAGATCAGCTTTTCTATCAGAAAGCCTTTCTTGCCTTCTCCCTATCAGCTAATCAGTTTATTTCAAATGTTCCAAATAAGAAAACCAAAAGGTTCTTCTTTTCGGGGCCTCACCTTTCCCTTACATAACTTTCTCTCTTGGAGAGAAAGGGCTCCGCTGGCAAAGTTGGACGCCCCCCACTGGTACTTCCTGGCTATGTGACTGGAGCAGGTGACACATTCACCTTGTCCCATTTCCTCATGAGGAGGACAGAAGAAATACATGTCACATGGAGCACTGTGAGTAGAGACTAGAGCTCTGAATCCAGAAAGCACTATGCAAATAGTCATTATTTTTGCACAACCTAGTTTTACTGGTTATTTTGTGGAAGTATAATATACATGCAGAAAGGTAGTGGCATATTCCTGGAATCCCAACTGCTTGGGAGGCTGAAATAGGAGGACTGCAAGTCCAAGGTCAGCCTGGGGATTGAAAGACCCTGTCTCAAAATAAAATAAAAAATGGCTGGGATGTAGCTCAGTGCTCTCTGGGCTCCATCTACAGGACTGCAAAAATTCATAAATTAAAAAACCCTGTATAATGAGCACATAAATCATCAACCAGAAACTAGTATTCAAAAGGACCTCCTCCTGTGCCTTCTAGTTACTACCCTGTCTAATCTTGAACAATATCCTTACTTCTGATTCATTTGTTATTTGTATTATTTAATTTATTTAATTGTTATTTGTTATTGATATTACAGCAATTGAGAAGGGGTTTATTTTGGTAATGTTTTCTTTTCTATTTATTATCTAAGACTTAACTGTATTTGCTGATTACTGTTTTTAACATAGCTATATTTTGTTTGCTAGGTTGAAAAAGCTCCTTGAACAAGAAAAGGCTTACCAAGCCCGCAAAGAAAAGGAAAATGCCAAGCGGCTCAATAAATTGAGAGACGAGCTTGTCAAACTCAAGTCCTTCGCACTCATGCTGGTGGATGAGAGGCAAATGCACATTGAGCAACTTGGCCTGCAAAGCCAGAAAGTGCAGGAGCTTACCCAGAAACTGAGGGAGGAAGAAGAAAAGCTCAAAGCTGTTACTTCCAAATCCAAAGAAGACAGGCAGAAACTGCTCAAGTTAGAAGTAGACTTTGAGCACAAGGCCTCCAGGTTTACTCAAGAGCATGAAGAGATGAATGCTAAACTGGCCAACCAGGAGTCTCACAATCGGCAACTTCGATTGAAGCTGGTTGGCTTATCTCAAAGAATCGAGGAGCTGGAAGAGACCAACAAAAATCTCCAAAAGGCAGAGGAAGAGCTTCAGGAATTAAGAGACAAAATTGCCAAAGGGGAATGCGGCAATTCCAGCCTCATGGCGGAAGTGGAAAACCTCAGAAAGCGCGTCCTTGAGATGGAGGGTAAAGATGAGGAGATCACGAAAACCGAGTCCCAGTGCCGGGAGCTGCGGAAGAGGCTGCAGGAGGAAGAGCACCACAGCAAGGAGCTGAAGCTTGAAGTGGAGAAGTTGCAGAAGAGAATGTCCGAGCTGGAGAAACTGGAGGAAGCCTTTAGCAAGAGTAAGTCGGAATGCTCTCAGCTCCACCTGAATCTGGAGAAAGAAAAGAACTTAACCAAAGACTTGCTGAATGAATTGGAGGTGGTCAAGAGCCGAGTTAAAGAACTCGAATGTTCTGAAAGTAGATTAGAAAAGGCCGAACTAAGCCTCAAAGATGATCTTACAAAGTTGAAGTCATTTACTGTGATGCTGGTTGATGAAAGGAAAAACATGATGGAGAAAATAAAGCAAGAAGAGAGAAAAGTGGATGGACTCAATAAAAATTTTAAGGTGGAACAAGGGAAGGTTATGGATGTAACTGAAAAATTAATTGAAGAAAGTAAGAAGCTCTTAAAACTGAAGTCTGAAATGGAGGAGAAAGTGTACAGTTTGACCAAAGAGAGAGATGAGTTGATAGGCAAACTGAAAAGCGAAGAGGAAAAATCCTCTGAATTAAGCTGCAGTGTGGATTTATTAAAGAAGAGACTCGATGGTCTAGAGGAAGTAGAAAGAGAAAGAAGAGGAAGGTCTCGAAAAGGGCCTGAGCTCACCGGCCCGGAGGATAACAAGATCAAGGAGCTAACGCTTGAAATCGAGAGGCTGAAGAAGCGCCTTCAACAGCTGGAGGTTGTGGAAGGGGATTTGATGAAGACGGAGGATGAGTACGATCAGCTGGAGCAGAAATTCAGAACTGAGCAGGATAAGGCGAACTTCCTCTCTCAACAGCTAGAGGAGATCAAGCACCAAATCGCCAAGAACAAGGCGATAGAGAAAGGGGAGGCTGTGAGCCAGGAGGCTGAACTGAGACACAGGTTCCGGTTGGAAGAGGCGAAGAGTCGAGATTTAAGAGCCGAGGTGCAAGCTCTCAAGGAGAAGATCCACGAGTTAATGAACAAGGAAGATCAGCTTTCCCAGCTCCAGGTAGATTATTCGGTCCTCCAACAACGATTTATGGAAGAGGAAAACAAGAACAAAAGCATGGGTCAGGAGGTGCTCCATCTCACCAAGGAGCTGGAGCTGTCCAAGCGCTACAGCCGCGCGTTGCGACCCAGCGTGGCGGGGCGCAGGATGGTGGACGTGCCGGTGGCGTCCACGGCGGTGCAGACGGAAGCCCCGGGCGGCGAGGCGGCAGAGGAGTCCCCGGCGGTGTTCATCCGCAAATCCTTCCAAGAGGAGAAGCACCTCATGAGCCACCTGCGCCAGGGGGCGCTGCGGAGGCCAGCGGGGCGCGGCTCGGTGCTGGACCGGTACCCGCCGGCGGCGGG